TACAAAATTAATTTTACAAAAATAATAAAAATTAGAGGATTTCAAAAATATTTTATTGAATAATTGAATGTTTCTTAAAATTGAATTCCTTTGACGAATTTTCATAACATTTTTAATTAACAATTTAATAAAAAAAATTAAATAAATATAAAAATATATATTATTATATAATATATATATATATATATATATATATATATATATATATATTATATTATATTATTATTATATATATTATTATTTATATTATATTATTATATATATTATTTTATTTAATTTATTTTTTTTTTTTTTTATTTTTTTTTAACATTTTTTTTTTTCATAACATTTTTTTTTATTTTTAAGAATAATTCCATTTTCGAGGAATTTGATTAAAATTGTATTAAAAATAATATTGAAATTCTGCGATGAGTTTTTTAATTTATGAAAATAATTGAATTTATAAAAAGAATTTTATTATTTTTTTAAAATAATTGAATCCTTGTAAAAAAATTTAATATTCATGAAAATAATTGAATTCTTTTGAAAAATTTTATTAAAATAGTAGATACTTATTAAAAATCATTATGAAAATTACGAATTGAAGATAATTTTTGAAAGTAATTGAAATTTTCCTACGAATTTTATTAACATTTTGGAAAATAATTGAATTTTGGAGAAGAATTTCATTATTTCTTAAAATAATTGAAATTTTGACGAGAATTTCTTTTAATTTTTGAACATATTTAAGATATTAATAAATTTGAAACCTTTTTTTGAATTTGAAATTTAATTATTTCTAAAAATTTGCGCTTTAATACTTTTAATTTTCAATTATTAACAATAATTTTAACTGAGATTCATTTTTAAATCAATTTTTATTAGAAAATACTACGAGAGTTCAATTATTTAAATTGAATTACAAAATTAATTTAAAAAAGAATAATAAAAATTAGAGGATTTAAAAAATATTTTATTGAATATTTCTTAAAATTGAATTCTTTCGACGAATTTTCATAACATTTTTAAGAATAATTCCATTTTTCGAAAAATTTGATTGAAACTGTATTAAAAATAATTGAAATTCTGTGATGAGTTTTATTATTTATAAAAATAGTTGAATTCCTAAAAAGAATTTTATTATCTTTGAAAATAATTGAATCTCTGTAAAAAATATTACTTTTTAAAATAATTGAATTGTTGTCAAGAATTTAATCAAAATTTTTGAAAATAATTGAAATTCAGAGTTCAATTTTATCATTTCTAGAGATAGTTGAAATTGTGCCAAGAATTTTATTAAAATTTTTTAACATAATTGAATTTCTGCAAAGAATTTTATTACTTTTGAAAATAATTGAATTTCTGCAATAATTTCTAACTTTTCCAAAATTCAATTTTTTTATCTAAAATTCTTTTACAAATCTATTAATTTTAATAATTTTTGAAAAAGTTCTTTGAGAATTTTCAAATTCATTTGTTTTCAATTCAATTTTACAAAATATAACGAAATTTCGATTATTCGGGAATTCTTCAATTATTTTTGAAATATTTGAGAAAAATTATTTATTAAATAATTCATAAGTAATAGTTTTATGATAGTTCTTCAAGAATTAAGTTATTTAAAAAGAAATTCTTGTCAAAAAGAGAAAAAATTGAAGCTTTTTTAGAATTTATGGTAATTTTATAGTTTATGAGGCAAACAAAAAGACTCCAAAATTCAGAATTTTCCTATGAATTCTAAAAATATAATTTTTTCCAGTACTTTTAATAAAAATCCCTGACTTTTCTGACCTGTGGCAACTCTAATTTAACTTAAAGAAGAAAAAATTTCTTTTAATATCAAATTAATAAATAGAAAATTTTCCCCGCCTACGATTCAGAAATTTTTTATTCACAGAATTTTTTACCCACCATCTCTTTTTTAATTCAAACGCGCACTTTATCCCAAGATCACGTAGAAACTATCGGGAAAATCTTTACTTACAGCGGCTATAATCTAAGGTCTAACTTTTAGTATGAAAAGGTATATTTTTGATTAAAAAGAAAACTATATTTATAAAATACAGTAATTTATTAAGGGAAACAATTTTTCACTATGTATGTATACAATCTTTCATACTTGGAATAATAAAAATGTTAATTGAAAGCTTCTATATAATAGAATTTATTTACAATTTGTTTTTAACGATACTATTCAACATTTTACACCTAAAGTATAATATATATATATTTTTTTTTTATGTATATGACATACAATAATTCATCTCTGGAAAGCAAATGAACAGCATAAAAAATTAATTCTCTACTTAATAACGAAATAAAATATTATTAAAATTGAATAATTATTTATCATCACTCGTTCTAATAAATAACAGTCACTCTACGATAGAAAACAGTGGTTTTTGTGTACTCTTTGTGTAAGGCGTGTATAGTGTTTACAGTGTTTATCACTACATGCTAAAGACTGGACAAATTCATCTCGATCGTGATCAAAGATGTTTTTTTTATAAGCTGTTTTCTTTACTAATTAAATCGCTATTGTGTCACGTTATATTTCGAGTTTTTTTCAGACACTAAAAAATCTTCGTGTCAAACAAATTTTCTCATGTTTTTCAAAAAAAAAAAAACATTTCTCGTGTTATTTGAAAAAAAACGAGTGTATTTGATCATTTCTTGTTATAATTAGATCTTTCGATTGATGAGATCTGCTCTCGTTTCCACTTTATATTCCTTGAAGCGACGCAAGGCAGACCAATGTAAATATTAAGACTAAGTTTTTTCACACTTTATACCGCGTATAAATGTGCATTCAAGTGCAAGAAATTTTCACATTCATTTGTACTATACAATCAAAATATCGTAGATGTAGCTGCGGAGTCACTTTTAAATGTAATATATTGAATTTGATTAAAAGCTCGACGCTTTTTCGAAAAGAAAAATTAAATCTTTAGTGTCAGTGACAAAAAACAAAAAAGAAAGAAATTTTTTTTTGACTTTTCTTAACATTATTAATAAGTACAATATTAATTTTGACGAAAAGTCGAAATTGGGTGGGAGAAAAAAAATTGTAATTAAATTGCCTCTATAATTTGTAATCTAAATAATTTTTTATATACACGTTTTTAGAAGGACAAAATTTAAAAATCCATCTTTTTAGAAAATTCAGTTCATTGCTTTTGATGATCCTAAAATTCCGAATGTTCAAATATTTCTTTTGTGTTTAATTTTTATTATAATTAATTTTGTAATAAATAATTGACAAAAATTGCAAGAATTAATCATAAAGAGTTTCTAAATATAAAATGTAAATTTTTAATTTTTCAAATGTTTCGAAAATATTTTATTCGTTTCATATCCTTAGAGGACGATATTTATTTATTTCTCCTTCTAATTTTTATTATTTAAATAATTTTTAAATTTTTATTACAATAATTTTGCGTCACTAGCAAAAAAATTTACTTTTCAAGTTTCTAAATTCAAAATTCAAGTTTTAAACTTTGCAATCAGTGATATTTCGAAAATAATTCGTTTTGTTTATCTTCAAAATTCGTAGATTTTAAAATCCATATGTAATTTTGTAGAAAACATGTTTTTTTATCCACAGAAAAAAATTGCCGAATGAAAAATTAATTTTTACTATTTTCGAAATTTTGTTTAGAAAAATAAATGAATTCCTTCGAAGAATTTTCTTTAAACTTGGAAAAATTGTAATCAAAATAATTTAATTCTCGCGAAGAATTTTATTATGTATGCAAATAATTGAGTTCTTGGGAGGAATTTTATTAAAATTTTTGAAAATAATTGAATTTTTTGAAAATAATTTTAATTTGAAAATTGAAAGTAATTGAATTTTATAAAGAATTGCTTTCAATATTTTTATATTATCGTGTTTGTCAATAATTGTAATTAAACATTTGATTAATTATTGAATTTTTATAATTTTTAGAAAATAATAAAATTTTTCTCAGAATTTAATTACGATTTTTTTTCAACAATTGAATATTCATTCAAAGAATTTTATTAAAATATTATAAATAATAGAATTCTTTCAAGACATTTCTTTAATTTTTTTTTAATATAATCGATTTTGTTAATAAATTTAATTAGTAATTTTTATTATGAAATTTTTTAAAAATTATAAATAAAAAATTAAATTCTTTTGAAGAATTTTTTTAAGTTCTTTGAAGATAAAGCATTTTTTAAAATAATTTTAATTGAAAATTTGAAAAAGAATTGAATTTTATGAAGAATTTAATTCAACTTTTTAAAATATTTGTGTTTGACAATTATTTTTATTAGAATTTTGATTATTGAATTTTATTTAAATTTGGATAAATAATTGAATTCTTCTCACAATTTTTTTTACAATTTTTTAAAAATATTTGAATTCCTGAAAAGAATTTAATTATTTACGAAAAAAATGTAATTCTTGAGAAGAATTTTACTACCTATAACAATAGTTGAATTCGTGATTATTACAAATTTTGAAAAATTATTAAATTCCTAAGAAGATTTTAATTATTTATAAAAAATATGAAATTCTTGCGAATAATTTTACTATTTATAAAAATAGTTCAATTCGTAAGAAGACTTTTATTACAATTTTTGAAAATTATTGAATTCCTAAGAAAAATTGTGTCATTTATAAAAAATAATGGAATTTTTTTGAAGAATTTTATTACAAAATTTCGTAAATAATTGAATTCCTGAACAGAATTTTAATATTTATAAAAAAATGAATTCTTGCGAGAAATTTTATTAAAAATTTTGAAAATAATTAAATTTCTGAGAAGAATCTTATTAACAAAATTAATTGAATTCTTTTCGGAAATTTTACTATTTATAAGAAAATAATTGAATTGTTTCTAAAAATTTTACCTTTTATGGAAAATTGGAAATAATTCAATTTTTGCGAATAATTTTATTAAAATTTTTGTTAATAATAAACAATAATAATTCTGTACTTAATAAATGAATTTTTTAGATTTTAAATCTGAAATTATTCAAAAATAAAAGTTGATATTTGAAAATAAAAAATTTTTCTCATAAAAATGCTTAAAAAATAGTAAAATAAATTTCTTTTCATTCGGAAATTTTTTCGTGAATACAGAAATATACTTTTTACAATATTACGCATTGATTTCAAAATTTACCAATTTTTAATTGAGGTAAAAATTCAAAAAGAGTCGTAATATTTTCTGTCCATTGAATTCTTCTCGAAAAATTTCTATAAAAACAATTTTACGGGATTTTAAAATTATTTTCTTGTTAAACTTAAAAACATCTGTCAACTCTCGTTCATTTTAAAGTTAGGAATTTTTTTGAACATTTAATTTCAACATTCAAAACTTTTGGATCATGCTTTTTGTGTAAAAATTTGAAATACGTGCGTAATTCAAAAAACTATGAACTATAAAAATTGGTACTCATTCGTGAGAGTACTGAATTTAGAAAAAATATGATTTCTTCACTTTTGTTTCCTGAAGATTTGAAGATATATTATATAAAAATTATCAGAGGCAATTTATCTAGAATATTATTTACACAATAAAAGAAGAACTTTTGCACTAGAAAAAAGAAAAATTGTGGACTAAACTCAAAAAACGTAGGGTGCATTATAACTACATGGACAGAGTTTCCTTAATAAGTTTTTTCATCGTGTTGCCCATTGTCGTACTCGAGGGTCCCGAAGTCGTGAATGATAATTTAAAAAGATACGGTTGAATATCGGGATACGACGTATCAAAAATTAAGTCTAATTCCGCCTGATTTGGCATTTTTGGAAGATAATCGTGTCGATTCATTACTTCGGTAATGTACAATATTTTGTCCGTGAGTAAATCACCAACTTTCTCCCTACAAATTTGTCGCTCATGTTCGGTGGACAATTTTATTAATTCAAGTCTTACAGTCCACACTTCCCAGGGAATACACTCTGGCTGAAAGGGCCAACGATTTTTTTTCTTCTGAAAGAATTCCAGTGAAATTTGACCCGAGCCGGGACTGTCTGTCGATCGTAGGGCTTCGGAAAAGCCGGAGATTTCACGTTTTAGGGTTTGATCGAGATGAACTGACGAGCAGCAAACGTATGTAAAGTCTATAAAATCACAGTCCACATCCTGATAGCCAACTGTGCCCACAGAATAGCTGCCTTCTTGTTTGTATTTAAATTTTCCCAAACTCCGGTGAAAGAGAACGTTGTGGAAAATACTTGCTACTGCCTCGTCCACCTGGCGACCCTCCATACTCAGTTCGAATAACTGCGTCCTTGCATTCATGTTGACTTCTGAAAAAAAATTAAAATTAGTTTCCAATTTTTGCTAAAATTTCGATTATCAGAACGTTCAAAAATTGATGAGAGTATTTTTAGTTAACTGTTTTAAATTGTCCCTCGATTGTTATCAGGGTGGTCTGCACAATTTTCAATTCATCAATTTTCCTGACATTTCCTTGACAATTTACTGACATTAAAATTATAAAAACAGATGTTTTTAACTATATCAAGAAAATAATTTAAATATTCGGTAAAATGGTTTTTATAGGAATTTTTCGATAATTAATATTCTTTGCAAGAATTCAATTATTTCCATAAATTATAAAATTTTTCGAAACAATTAAATTATTTTCTTATACTTAAATAATAAAATTTTCAAAAAGAATTCAATCTTCTGAGAAATTCAATAATTTTCAAAAATTGTAATAAAATTCTTCTCATGAATTCAACTACTTTTATAAATTAGTAAAATTCTTCGAAAGAATTCCATTTTTTTACAATAATAAAAATCTTCTCAGAAATTCAATAATTTTCCAAAATTATAATAAAATTCTTTTCTTGAATTCAACTTTTTTATAAATGGTAAAATTCTTCGCAAGAATAAAATTTTTTTCGTAAATAATTAAATTTTTCTCAGGAATTTAATTATTTTAAAAAATTGTGAGAAGAATTCAATTATTTTTGTAAATAATAAGATTCTTCTCAGAAATACAATTATTTTTAAAATTTGTTATGAAATTCTTCGCAAGAATTTAATATTTATAAATAATAAAATTTAATTTAATTATATCTTAAAAAAGTGATTCAAAAATAATTTTTGAAAAATTTGTTTATAGTTATTTTTGCACTTAAAAAAAATCGCTATAATTTGCATTTTATACTAAAAAATGTGGTATTTTGTTGCTATATTTGGAAGAAAAGTCGAAAAAGCCGCAATTTTTTAAAATAAGTCGAAAAAAGTCTTAATTTTCTTAATTTCATTGACAAAACATTTTTATTCCTGTCATTTTCCTGACTTTATTGACAGGAAAATAATTTCAATGAAAAATTAGCGAACGAAAATAAAAATTAACATTTAATAAATTTATAGAAAAAAAATTGTCTAGTTTTAAATTCGGAAAAAATTGCTTGATAAGCTTGAAAAATAAAAAAATAAAACTAGTTCGATATCGCAGTTGACAAAATAAGTATTAACCATTAGCCTCTTTAGAATGAACTATAAGAAAATAAATGCAAAAGGAGGTCAAGTCACTAAGCGGATAATAATCCTAAATTATTCATTTTGCACTATATTTCAAAACATAAGCACTGAAAACAACTTTTTTTTTATCATAAACCAACAGAAATTTGTGTATTTAATTTTCTCTCGAAGAATTTTGTAAAAATCCTAACCTCAAAATCTTATTATTTGCATGAATCACGGTTGTTGGCCAGTTGTTGACAAAGCAAAGCGAGCAAAGTAAACAAAGACAACTTTTAATAATTCACTTTTCAGAAGGAATTATAATTAATAATTATTCCTTTCAATTAACGAATGTAGATTTCTTTCATTTTTAGAACGAGACTAAAAAGCAAGCTAATGTTAATTGACTGTTGCCCCGGATTTACATCATAATGAATAATAATAACCTTGATTTTTTCTTTTACGTAACGCACAAATGAGGAAAATTGTCTTGTAGAGAAATATAAAAACTCTTTTCTCATATATCTAAATATTTCTTATCTAAATATTTTTTTTAAGAATTCATTTTTTGGTAAATTTATTCCAAGGGAAAAATATTGTAAAATATTTAATTTTTTTTCTCAAACAGATTCGAGAGGAATGTGTAAGAAATTTCGATAGATCTCATTGTTTTATGTAGATTATAATAATTTGCTCCATTATCCAATTTTTAATTCTATTAGGTCTTATTTTTTTCTTACTTTTCTTATTGAATGATCACACAATTTGCACTTGTCCTCTATTTTTGCCTTCGAATTTGTTCACAAGTAACTTCCATCTTTCTTTAATCCGCACACATTAATCTGCACTCTTTTTAAAAACAAAAAACACTAATTCACGCGCAATAACGCTAATATTTGACACGCATCTTTTGTAAGTAAACAACAGCTGGTCCATTCGGCGCCATTTTGTAAAGAGGTTTGTTTTGGAAAAGAGACGACACTGGATAAACATGTATATATATATATATATATATATGTATATGTACACTAGGTAACTGTGTATACAAGTACAAAGTGGAGTTTACTAAACAATATGGTTACAATATAGTTAGCAAAGAAAAGATTTTACAAAATCCAAAAAATAAAAATTTTGGTTCTTAATTTCATTATGATTGTCTATTTTTCTTTTTGGTAAATTAAAAAACTATCTAAAATCACGTGCGCATTGAACATGCAAAGCTCAAACCTGCGCAGAATGGTTCATTTAAGTCGGCCAATAAAAAATACTGGCGCAAATTTCGTTGGTGTTTTGAAAATTTAAATTGTGATTTTCATTGTCATTTTGAAAATTTACGAATAAATAATTAATAATAATGATAATAAATAATAAATTATACAAGTCGCATAGGAGTTTGGTTTCTACAAGATAACAAATTGCTCTCTCTCTCTCTCTTTTTGATTACATTTATTGTCAACGTATACAAACTAGACTTTGTAATAAACGTTATGATCATCAACCAGCAACGTACAAAATAATAATATTCAATAAATAGAATAATAATACTCAATAAATAGAATTATTAAAGCACATTAGATCGTAACACTAATTTACTTTCTACTTATTCGTCTAATTTGTGACTTCTCCTTTTTGAGGAAATAAATACATAAATATAACAACAACAGCTAATAAATAATCTTCTTACGTGTCTGAATAGTTTAGTTGTGCAAACTTTTTGCAAGCACTTTGAATATCAGGAAAATTGTATTTGAAATCTGATTCCAGTACTTTTTTGGGAATGACTTTTTGACCTTCCAAAACAATCTGAAAATTTCATTTAGTGAAATGAAAATTTTGAATAACAAAATTATTTCTGAAGTTAGCGTCGACGTTAGGCGTCGAAAAATATTATTTGGAGTTTTTAGAGACGAAAATGTTGCTGATTACACATTTTTTCGTTCAATTTCGTGAATTAAAAAATCACTTTTTTAATCTAAAAGCGAGGATTGAATTATTTAAATTTAGAAAAAAATAATTTATTCAATAATTGAATTAAAATTTAATTTTTATAAAGAATTTTATCATCAAATTTTATAAAATTTAAATTCTTTCGACAAATTTCTATAGAATTTTTAAGAATAATTACATTTTTTTTTATTAAAATTGTATTAAAAATAATTGAAATTCTGCGATGATTTTTATTATTTATGAAAATAATTGAATTCCTAAAAAGAATTTTATTATTTTTTAAAATAATTGAATCCTTGTAAAAAAATTTAATATTTATGAAAATAATTGAATTACTGCGAAGAAATATATAAAAAATTTGTAAATAATTGAATTCTTTTGAAAAATTTTATTAAAATAGTAGATGTTGAAAATCATTATGAATTGAGGAAAATTTTTTAAAATAATTCAAATTTTGCGAATTTTATTAAAATTTTTGAAAATAATTGAATTTTGTCAAAGAATTTTGTTGTTTATAAAGATAATTGTAATATTGACGAGAATTTAAAAAATTTTTTTGAAAATAATTAAATATTGGCGAAAGATTTTAATATTTATGAAAATAATTGAATTTCGGCAAAGAATTTTGCTGTTTATAATGATGATTGAAATCTTAACGTGAATTTAAAAAACATTTTTGAAAATAATTTAATAATTCCATTTTTCGTGAAATACGATTAAAATTGTATTAAAAATAATTGAAATTCTATGATGAGTGTTATTATTTTTCAAGATAATTGAGATTTTAATTTGAAACTTTTTCGAAATTCATGTTATAATGGTTTCAATATTCAAGTAATATGCAAAATTTTAACTGAAATTCATTTTTAAATCAATTTTTATTAGAAAATTCTACGAGATTTCAATTATTTAAATACAAAAATAATTAATTTATGTAATAATTAAATGTTTCTTAAAAGTGAATTTTTTTTGACGAATTTTAAGAAAATTTTTAAGAATAATTCCATTTTTCGTAAAATTTGATTAAAATTGTATTAAAAATATTTGAAATTCTGCGATGAGTTTTATTATTTATGAAAATAATTGAATAACTTTGAAGAAATTTATAAATAATTAAATATTTGCGTAGAATTTTATTAAAATTTTTTTAAAATTGTTAAATTCATCTGGAAAATTTTATTTTCATAGAAGATATTAAAAATCATTAAAATGTGGAAATTTTTTGAAAATAATTGAAATTTTGACAAGAATTTTTAAAAATAATTGAATTTCGAAGAAGAATTTTATTATTTATAAAGATAATTGAAAATTTGATTAGAATTTTTTTGTTATTTTTGAACATAATTGAATTTCTGTGATAATTTTATTACTTTTGAAAATAATTGAATTTCTAATAGTTTTTTTTTAAGAATTAAGGGCATTTGAACCTTGATGACGTTACAGTTTGTGGAAAGCATGTGTGACGTCATCAAGGTTCAAATGCCCTTAAAGAAGAAAAGAAATTAAAAAGAATTCATTTGCAGAAACAAAAGAAATTGATGGTGTTGTATTAGAATTCGTGGTAATTTCATTATTTATGAGGCAAACAATGACGATGCTAACTTCAGGAACCAAAAAACGAACTTTTCTTCAAGGTGACTTGATATTAACTCACCTTCGCACGTTCTTCTCCAAAAAGTAAATTGACAACAGCGGTAGGCATTGGGAGAAACGATGGTCTCCATAAGGCTTCAGCGAATGCTTTCGTAAATTCATGATTTGTGATAATTTGAGGAGCAACGCCATTCAAAACTCCATGTAAATTTTCATTGCACATTGCATGTTGAAATAGTCTCACTAGATCTCGAATATGAATCCAGGGCATGTATTGTTTTCCAGTTCCCATTATTCCTCCAGCACCCATGAAGAAAGGGGGAAATATTTGCTGTATCATGCCCCCTGTTCTTCCTAAAACTACTCCAGATCTTATTGTAACTTGTCTTATTTTACAATCATCTGGAAGTTTGGCAGCTGCTTCCCAATCGTGACATAATTCTATTAAAAAAATATTTTTTTATTCCCAAGTGGAGATAAAAAATTATAATATAAATTTATTAATATAAATATAATTTGTAATTTATAATTTAATGTCGAGAATTTGCATTTCTTACTTGACAGAAAGTCGTAAGGTTCACATTTGTCTTCCTCTGTGTATTCCTTTCCATCTGTGGGATAATAAGCAACACCAGAAATAGTAACGAAACTTTTTGCATCTGTAGAAGAAACGGCTTTTGCCAAAGCTTTTGTTGTTTCAATTCGACTATTGCAGATATTTTGTTTGTAACCAGGTGTCCATCTTCGTGTAACGTCGAGAATATTTTGACCGGCGACATTTATCACGTCGGAAACGTCTTCTGGCAGTCCTTTTTTTTCTAAATCATGCTTTCAAAATTATTAAATTATGTTCATATATTTAGTGTTATTTAATATAAGTATCATACTAAGAATTAATAAAAAAGACGAATTTTATTGTTCTCGTATTTTACCCAAGATATTCTGCAAGGACCAGGCATTCGTGAAATAATCGTAGTTTTCACTCCTTGATTCTGTAAAGCAGAAATCAAACACGATCCAATCCAACCGGTTCCACCGCCTGAAAATACATGTAAACTTTACGATTATATTGTAATAATGGAAATATATGGAATAATTTTTTCTATTCACAATACGTAGTTTGAAAATATATTCCTATTTACCAACTACCACATGTTTCAAAGACATTTTATTCTTCTATTACTATAATTTAACTGTTTTTTTATTGCAAAACATTATTTGCAATCGTGAAAATACTGAAAATAATCCGTCTGCTAGAACGCAATTATATAAAGTGTGATATAGACGTAAAACTAAAGGTCCCTTCACATGTGAAACATGTCGCGGCGCGATGGGGGGGAATCGTCACATTTCGGACGTTCGACTTTCTTTGCGTTCCTTACCAACCCAACCCTGCCTTGTAGTTGTCCAATAAAGTTTTTAAAGTCGCCGGCAGGACCAGATCGCCGGGTTTTTCTTATTTAGATTCGCGTCTTTTTATTAGTTTAAGTATTTAACAGTCTGTAGATATCGTGAAAAGTGTTCGTCGATAGTAAATAATGTTAAATTCATGTGAAAGTCAGACTTTCTTGTGTAAACAAATGTCATTGTAATAATGCCTCTCACGTGTTTGCGGGTTTTCAATTGTTAAAATGTCCCGAGTTTTAGACAATAATTAACGCACTGATTGTACTAAAAATGAAAAATAATATTCAGCCGTTTATTAAAAAGTTTCTAAGTGTATTTTTCGTGTGTTCCATATCAGGTGCAAAAGGATTAGACTCTGAGGAAAAAGTGAAAAAGCAGCCGAAAGCAGTTTCAAAATGGAGAATTCCGGAGCACGTGTTTGTAAGTTTCTTATGATTCTGGTAATAAATTCTGATTATAATGTTTCTAAATAATTTAATACAAATCGATACGATTTCCAATATATTCCTTTCGTTACATTTGTATACGATAAGTATATGAACAATTGCTTTTTGTGCAACTATTCGTTGCAATTGGAGAAGTCTAAAACTAGTACAGTATTATGCAAAAGTTGTTGATACTGTTGATATTTATTTAAATAAAATGATAAAATATAGGAAACGCGTTTTAATGAAAAATTAAGACAATTTCGTCACTTTTTTAACAGAATGTTGTCGTCAAACTCTAAAAAACGAAATAGTTAAAAGATTAAGGATTAAAATATTATGATGAGTACTTGTAAAAATAGTGACACTTTTTTTCGTGAATTAATGATAATTAATTAATTAATAAATGTTAGGAAAACAAAATTTTTGTCAGTAAATTCAGGGAAATAACAGAAAAAAAGTTTTTTGTCAGGAAAATTAAAAGGAAATTCAGACTGTTTTCGACTTAATTTAAAAAATCTTTTTGAGTAATTGAAATTTTCTAACATTTAATTGAAAATAATTAATTTTTTTCAAGTATTTTGCTACTATTTTGGAAAATTAACTTTTGAAGAATTTTAATTGCAAATTTCGAAAATAATAGGATTATCAAAAATGATAATGAAAAATCTTTAAATGTAAAATTTATAAATGAAAATTAATGAAAATTAGCTTCTTTGTAAAAAATTTAAAATGATTAAAAATTATCAAAAATTCGAAAAACCGAATTCCTTAAAATTCGACATTTTTACTTCTGTTTTATGGCATTTTGCTTCATTATTTTTGTGCTCTTGAAAAATACTTTACTTATTTAATTGTCTCCACCCTTTGGGAAAAAATCAGAAACAAACAATCAAAAATTATCAAACATTCGAAAATCCGAATTTCTTAAAATTCAACATTTTTCCTTCTTTTTTATGGCATTCAGCTTCATTATTTTTGTGCTTTTGGAAAATACTTTACTTATTTAATAGTCTCGACTCTTTGGTAAAAAATATAAAATTATCGAAAATTATCAAAAATTCAAAAAACCGAATTTCTTAAAATTCAACATTTTTCCTTCTTTTTTATGGCATTTAGCTTCATTATTTTTGTGCTTTTGAAAAATACTTTACTTATTTATTTGTCTCCAACCTTTAGCAAAAAATCAAAATTTATCAAAAATTATCAAAAATTCGAAAATCCGAATTTCTTAAAATTCAACATTTTTACTTCTATTTTATGGCATTTTGCTTCATTATTTTTGTGCTCTTGAAAAACACTTTACTTAGTTAATAGTCTCGACTCTTTGGTAAAAAATATAAAATTATCGAAAATTATCAAAAATTCGAAAAACCGAATTTCTTAAAATTCAACATTTTTCCTTCTTTTTTATGGCATTTAGCTTCATTATTTTTGTGCTTTTGAAAAATACTTTACTTATTTATTTGTCTCCAACCTTTAGCAAAAAATCAAAATTTATCAAAAATTATCAAAAATTCGAAAATCCGAATTTCTTAAAATTCAACATTTTTACTTCTATTTTATGGCATTTTGCTTCATTATTTTTGTGCTCTTGAAAAACACTTTACTTAGTTAATAGTCTCGACTCTTTGGTAAAAAAATATAAAATTATCGAAAATTATCAAAAATTCGAAAAACCGAATTTCTTAAAATTCAACATTTTACCTTCTTTTTTATGGCATTTAGCTTCATTATTTTTGTGCTTTTGAAAAATACTTTACTTATTTATTTGTCTCCAACCTTTAGCAAAAAATCAAAATTTATCAAAAATTATCAAAAATTCGAAAATCCGAATTTCTTAAAATTCAACATTTTTACTTCTATTTTATGGCATTTTGCTTCATTATTTTTGTGCTCTTGAAAAATACTTTACTTAGTTAATAGTCTCGACTTTTTGGTAAAAAATATAAAATTATCGAAAATTATCAAAAATTCAAAAACCTGAATTTCTTAAAATTTAACATTTTTCCTTCTTTTTTATGGCATTTAGCTTCATTATTTTTGTGCTTTTGAAAAATACTTTACTTATTTAATTGTCTCCAACGTTTAGCAAAAAATCAAAATTTATCAAAAATTATCAAAAATTCGAAAATCCGAATTTCTTAAAATTCAACATTTTTACTTCTATTTTATGGCATTTTGCTTCATTATTTTTGTGCTCTTGAAAAATACTTTACTTAGTTAATAGTCTCGACTTTTTGGTAAAAAATATAAAATTATCGAAAATTATCAAAAATTCAAAAACCTGAATTTCTTAAAATTTAACATTTTTCCTTCTTTTTTATGGCATTTAGCTTCATTATTTTTGTGCTTTTGAAAAATACTTTACTTATTTAATTGTCTCCAACGTTTAGCAAAAAATCAAAATTTATCAAAAATTATCAAAAATTCGAAAATCCGAATTTCTTTAAATTAAACATTTTTCCTTCTTTTTTATGGCATTTAGCTCCATTATTTTTGTGCTTTTGAAAAATACTTTATTTATTTAATTGTCTCCATTCTTTAGCAAGAAATAAAAAATTTTCAAAAATTCGAAAATCTGAATTTCTTAAAATTCAACATTTTTTCTTCTGTTTTATGGCATTTAGCTTCATTATTTTTGGGCTCTTTAAAAACACTTTACTTATTTAATAGATAGTCTCCACCCTTTGGTAAAAAATTAAAAATTATCAAAAATTCGAAAAACCGAAGTTCTCAAAATGTGCTACTTTTTTTCGTGAATTTATTATAATTAATTAATTAATGACAGTTAATTATTTACTATCAAAGTAGTTTAAATTCTTTTAGTTTATTTATTTTATTCGTTTTTTCAAACAATAATTAAAACAATATTGTGACAGAAACTTTTACAATGCACAGTAATTATAAATGATATGAAACGATATACAAAATTTTCTTTATCTAGTATTCCATTCATACAGAAAATTATTACTTCCATTATTAAAAATTAAGAAAAAAAAGATTTTGCTATAAAATTATTTTACAGGTTACACTAAATAATAATTAACGAAAAATGAAAATAAAAAAATGTCATTGTAAGTTTATCATTCTTTGCAATATTTTCGAAACATTAAATAAATGTAAGTAATTCCGAGGGGGTATATATACTCCCGTATTTGGAATGTACACTCTTCTTGTAATAGTCGTGTAATATCGCGTAATAGGGCGTAATAGTACGTTATTACGTGGGTGTAATGCCTAGACATATCTCTGTATTGCCCTGTAATACCCTGTAACACTTGGTAATAAGTGTAATTTTAGCGTAATAAGTGTATTGGAGTGTACACGTTTTCAACCAGTAAATACCCCCTCGAGTAATTCACTTTGTAACGCAATCACAATAGACATTCGTAATATATGATAAAAACAATTTTTTATCTAAAAATAATATTTTAATAAATATATTTTAATAATTTACTTTATTTATGATCCTTTTGTTTTGAACGTTCGAATGAACGAAATTTATTTATTTTTACAAAATTGAATATTTATTACAATAATTTTGATAATAAAAAATTAATTGTACTTTCTAAATTTAAAATTTGTTTTTTTATTTTTATCAGAATCAGTAATTTTTAAACATAGTTTTCGTAAAAAAAATTTCGTTTATTTGAACGCTAAAAACTTATATGGATCATTTTTATTTCATTTAGTATTAATAATTTATTATAATAATATTCTATGAATATTATTTAATGAGTATTGTTTTTAAAGTTTAAAATTACATTAAAGGGATTCTATACATTAATTTTGTTTGTAATTTACGAGAAAAGAAAGAAAAAAAATGCGAATTTTGATTATTTCAATGAAATCTAATTCTATACACTTGCTCGTTAATTACTTAATTTAAATCTACAATTATGTTTTTTATTTTATTCTACAATTATACACATATATTCTTCGAATTTCATGTACATATTGTGTATTTTAATTTTTAATTACATAAATATGAATATGTTTTCTATAATTACTAAACTTGAAGGAAATCTTTATCTTTCTGATAATATCTGATATTTAATTTTTACTAGAACTAGACAGATATGAAAATCGATAGTATTTTTAGTTGAAAGTTTCTATGTTAACGTGACGATGACATTTTAACAGTAAAATACACTTGTGTATGATCTTTTTTTTAAAGTTTTTTTAAACTTTATTGAGATTTTTTTTAGAATAATTTAATTCCCTTTAGTTCTGAACACTCGAATGAACGAAATTTAAAAAAAAAGTTTTAATTATGAAATTAAATTTTTTATAATCTATTTAATTAATTAGTAAAAATAATGGATTTATAGAAGAATTTTAGTTAAAAACACTAAAAAAAATTGAATTTTTGAGAAGTTACAGATTGCAGCAATTCAATTATGTTCAAAAATTTTGAAAAATTTTAGTTAAAGTTTAAATTATCTTTATAAATAATAAAATTCATCTTCAAAATTCAGTTATTTTTAACAAATTGTAATAAAATTCTTGGCAACATTCCTGATAAGGAATAAATATTTCTTTCACTTGAACGTTTAAAATTTTTGTAACTTAATAATTTAAAAATATATTAATAACTATCTTCTTTGTCGTCAAAACAAGTTTTAACGAAGTAAGTTGTTAATTCTCCCTTCCCCTTGACAAATGTCGGTCCACGACAAATTAATTCATAGCCAGCGTTTCTTAAAATTTTTGCTGTATCCTCAGTCACTTGAATTCTTCCCATTTCTCCACAGCTGTCCATTCGCGAAGCAACATTAACCGTGTTGCTCCAAATATCGTATTGTGGTTTTTGTGCTCCCACAACTCCAGCAATTACAGGTCCGTGGTTTAAACCTTCGGAAAAGTTAGAAATCCGTATTATTTTTTATTTTATTTTATTTTTTTGTTTTAAGTAAGTCGACACTAACTTCAGAAACATAAAAAAACTAAAAGAAAAAGTTAGAAATCCAATTGTTTGCTTACCTATTCTTAATTTAAATCTTTGGAAGGATTCTCTGTTTATTTGATCCAAAATTGTCATGAGAGCAATTGCAAACTCGACGAGCACTATCACGTTGTGATCTTCCTATTTTTGATAAATTTTCAAATTTATTTATTATTTGTAATAGTTTGACTATTTTCTATAGAAAAATATTTTTATTACCTTTCCTTCTCCACTTTCTTTCCCGGGGCTTAATCCTGACGCGAGCATATAAGTACTCCCGATGGTTTTTATTTTTTCAATACCAGAAAATTTAGGCTTCAATAAGAGTTTATCGAAATCGCAAATTATTTCGTTCAATAATCTTAAACACTCGAGTCCTTGTTTATTGATGTCCGTTTCGTCGTAAAATTCCTTATAGTTTGGAATAGAAGCAAACATTACAGCTATACTGCTATATCTTTCGTGATAAAGTTCCTAAAAAGAAAAAAATGTAATTATAATTATACATCCACTTCAGATTATTTAAGTTGCAAAAAAAAAAAATAACCTGAGCTGTTCTTGTTGCTAGAAAATGATCAGCGACATGAGCTGGTAAAATGTTTTCCAAGAGAATCTTGTTAATCCCTCTCATTGTTTCAACTTCATCTTGTTCTACTTTTAATTTGTTTTTCCACAAAAAGTCTGTTCTTGAGGTGAATTCCACTCTTCTGTCTAGTACATGAAGTATTAGAGCCACTAGAGTCAGAAGAAATCCTATTTGAATTAAGTAGTGCACTCCTGCAAATCTGAAAATTATCTTATATAATTTTAATATTTTCCTCAATTATTTGCAATTTTATTGGAAATTTTATTTTACTCACTCGTATCGACTGTTTTCGACACTTTCGTAATATTTGGCAAAAATTTCCGCCTGGGAGAATGAGATTAATAGGACAAAAATTGAGAGTATCATTACACTTAATTTTAATAGGTGTCCAACTCTTAAATGTGCCCAACCAACCAGAAGGGCAATTGCTCCCGATTTTACATAAACCTGAAAATTTTAACAGTATTTAAATGAATAAAGTAATAAAAAATAGTGAAGCCACTAATAGTACCTACTAGTTTAAGATTTTAAATATCAATTTTAAAGTGAAGAAATTATTTCTAATAAAAAAATTAAAGGAGATGGAAATATCGAAAAGGAAAGTAAATTAAAAATTGAAATTCGTTTATATTAAATTTAGAAGATTATTTTTTACGTACAGGTACAATCTGATAGTCATTACTTTGCTCGTCGCTAAGACTTATTATCGAAGAAGTCACAGCCAATGAAGCTGTAATTAAATAAATTGATATCCTAATTCCTCTATTTACAATTTTTGTCCCCGATTCTTCTTCACCAGTTCTCTCAATATACCAAAAGATACAAGTGAAAATGGTCAGTGTTATAAATCCAATGCCAAAGCAGCTATAAATTGTTGGACATCTGTAATATTATTGAAAATCTGATGAATTGTAATGAAGAGGAATTATAATTTTTTTGCAAAAGTTGAATTATTTTTGAATAGTTTTAATTGAAATGCTTACTTTGGAAGATAAATGACTTGGACGAAAAACATTGCACAGTATAAGACGTTACTAATTGTCACATACCAAGGATATTGTTCATCTTTTTGTTCTCTGTAGTGATCTTCTTGGTTTGTTTCATTAAACCAATATGTCAAAGTCGACATTCCTTCCTTACCTTCGCACCATTGTCTATGAAATAATGTCTTTAATGTTTCTTCACAAAATTAACTATCTATTGTTTGTACTCATTAGTATTGTTGACTGTACATAGTGTTGTACGTTTTGTATTTGAATCAGTGATATTTTCTTTTGTTTATATTTTATGTAAATAGTTCTATGTGGTTGCGATTGAAAATAACATATTTTTCCTAAAGATATAAAATTGAGACAAAAAAGTATCAAAATTGTTGCGATTCAACAATTTTGATACGTTTTTTGTCTCAATTTGATATCTTTAGAAAAAATGGGAAAAGAAATGTTGAATATTGCTTTTTCTCTGCCACGTGTAATATTTAGTTTTAAAAAAATACTTGTAACTCACTTAACATTGAGACAGTTTGCATGATTTGGAAGAAGATTCGATTCAATCATTGCTATACTCTGAAAATTAAATTAAGAAATTTATAGGACTTTAAAGAATTTTATTATAAATCTTACAAATTATAACTTTATTATAATTATAATGTTTTTCACCTTTATTGGTAAAAGAAAAAAGAAAAAGGAAAATTAAAAAGAAAATAAGAAAATTCACAAATACAGACAAAAAATGGTCCTAAAATTTTTAACTTTCAAATAAACATAACGATATTTTTTTCGTTCATTTTTTAAATTCGAATTTTGTCAAAAAATATTATTCTCTACATTAAAAATTAATAGTTCTACATTAAAATAAATTTTGAACTAAATAAATGCTAAATTTACATTAATTTAGAATTTAATATAGTAATTATTAAAAATATTTATAGAATAGAGAATAAGTTTCGTTCAAAATTTTAGTAAAATTTCAAAAATAAATCAAAAATACTCAAAAAAAAAATTAATTAAAAAATTTAATATTAAAACTTACTGTGAGGCCTATGTTTTTTGCCAAAGTATTTTCTGTAATATTTGCAAATGGTTTGTCAGCCCCCCAATATTCTCCCAACTTTGTCATTTTACTACTTGGCCTAGATCTGAAAACATAAATTTTTTAATTGAAAATTTTATTGACATTGAGGTTGTTGCGCTTCATGGCAATCAAATTTTCAATTCTTTTTTGTATATAAAAAACACAGAAAATTGTGAACCAAAATTAATAAAAATAACCTTGCTTCAATTTATTGAAAGATTATTTTTTCAAAAATATTTGCAAGTGATTTGGTTTTGATTTAGGGATAAATTTTTTTTTGGGATAAAATAAATTTAAAAATGGTTTATTTTAGTCTTTTTTGTATAAAAAATCTTCAATGATTTTTAATATTTTATAATTTACTGTGTAAAAAAATACCTTGAGGGTACCGGTCCAGGTCCTCTGTCACCATTTTTTACTTCTTTTTCTTCTTTTATTTTCTGAAATCAAATAATTTTTGAACTTTTAAAACTTTTAGAACATTTTATGAAAATATTTTTTATACAATAGATTTTCTTTCAGTTCAACATTAAAAATTTGTGGATCATAAATATATTTATTTATTTATTAAATGGAAACAGTATATAATTTTCGAGAATTACGTTATACAGTTCACAACGTTTATAATCAACGACTCAGAAGAAATAATATTTTTCCATGAAAATTTCTGTCTTAAAATTGTTTCTATTTGTTCGTTCATGTTTATTCATCGACAATTAAAAACAGATTGTATACAAAAAATATTATTGCTTTTTTGCTTGTAAAAACTACTTTTTTCTTCTAATCGTTGATCATAAACGTTGTGACTTTCACCCACGCGTTGAAAATTACACTGTGATAGCAAAAACTTATTTTCTTTTAAATTTTTTTCGATTTTTTAATGATTCAAACTTGGAGGCTTAATTAAAATTCTGATTACAAATGTTTCTCATTACTGAAAACTAGAGCACTGCTTATTTTGATTTGATTAAAATTTCAAATAGAAATGTTTCTCATTCCCTGATAATGGTGACTACCATTAGCAACAGGTGGTGGCATATTTCTATAAAGATTTAGAAAAAAAAATGACTAATTTATTCATTTTCAAGAACATTATTATGTACAATTTAAATATTAATTTCAAAGAAAAAAAAAGAAAAGTATAATTTCTGAATGGGAGAGATAGTTTTCGTTTAATTTTTTTAACAACTCGGAAAAAGAATACGTGATTGGGACTATCATTATTTGATATAGTTGACGAATATGTGCTATAAATTTTATACGGTTACGGCATCAATTTTTCAAGTTAAGTGGAGAAATGATTGTGGAAACGATATAAAATTTATGTGACATATCGAGAACTGTAAAAATGATTCTTCTACTATCTACGATAATTGAATCATTAAGAAATTTTGATTAAATATAAAAATATAAAATTTAAATTTAAAAATAGTTAAGTAGTTAAATATAAACAAGTGATAAAATTATGCATATAATTAACTTAAACTTGCCCCTGAAATGCGCCGACGATCAATATCGAAAACTATTATTTGGGGTTTTTAGAGATGAAATTGCCACTAATTTCCGTTTCCAACGAAATTTATTTCTCATTTAAATTTAAATTTAAATTATTTTTCCAATAATATTATGTAAAGTGTTAAAAATATAAATTATAAAGTTTCTGAATTTTTAATTTTGTTTGCTTTTTATAACAGTCAGTAATTTTTGAAAATATTTATACTGTCAAAAATTTATTATCCTAAAGTTCAGATTCGAGCGAACGAAATATTTTTCATTGAAAATATTTTTACTGAAATTATTGACTGCAATAAGAATTAAAAACGTAACTAAATTTTACATTTTTATTAACAAAAAAGCTGCAAAGAATTTTCATTCTTTGCCGGCTTCTTAATTGTTTACTAATTTGAATTAGTGACTGATAAAAAATCAGAAAGCAAAAAGCTTTCAATTTAGTAAATTTTACTAATAAATTAGTAGAAATTACCATTTGTTAATAAAATTTACTAATTAAAAAGCAAAAAGTCAGTCTTTAATTCAAATTCGTAAACATTTTTACTAAAAAATAAAAATAAAGATTTAACTAAATTTAAAAAGTATAATTTAGTAATTATTGAAAACTAGTTTCATTTATTATTATGTAATTTATTTATTAATTAATTAGACATAATTATTAACGATAAAACTTATTTTCAATAATAACTGATTGTTATTCTGTCTAAATTTAGTTAAATTTTTATTTTTTTATTGATTTATTTTTGTCAAATAAAACTAATTTTCAATAATTATTAACTCTTGTACTTTTTAAATTTAATTAAATTTTTATTTTCATTTTTTAGTAACAATGTTTACTAATTTGAATAAGTGACTGTCTTTTTGCTTTTGAATTAGTAAATTTAACAATAAATAAGTAGAAATTAATATTTATTATTAACATTTACTGATTCAAAATTAAAAAGTCAATCACTAATTCTAATTAGTAAATATTTTCACTAATTAAAATCTAGAGACTGAAAAGCAGAAACAAAATTAAAAATTTAGAATCTTTACAATTTATTTTTAATACCTTAAGCAATATGATTGCAAAAAAAAAATTAAATTTGATAAATAAATGAATAAATTTTGTTTCATTTGAATATTTACAACTTTAGGAACATTCGATTTTGCGAAAAATATAATTTTCGACCTTCAGCGTCGAGGCTAAATTCAGGGACCTATTTAAACGTACCTTCGGTGGTATAATTAGATAAGTTTCCACTTTATGATCGGCTAAATATTTTTCTCGAGATCCTCCTTCCCCTGATTCGACTTGAAAACGATCTCCAAGCTGAAGTAGAGTTGCTTTCGTCACGTGAACCCGACTTTTTGTCACAAAAATAATTCAAGTATTTTAATTTCACTAATATTTTATTTTTATTCTTAATTATTAATTGTTTTCTATCAAAATCTCAAATGAACCGTCGAGCAATAATAACAATAGAATTATTCTCGTTTAACTTACCCCGGTAATCCACCGCTTTCCATATGATTAGCCAAAGTGACATCATCACTCCAGACGTCAAATTGCCATTTTCGAAGTCCCAAAACTCCACAAAGTACATTTCCGGTATGAATTCCAATTCTCATGTCAACATTAAACCCAGTGGCTTCTCTCACGAATCTAGAAAGATTCGTAATCATTGATAAATCCGATTTTTTTATTTAAAAATGCAATTCATTGTATTTTTAGATTCTTTTTTTTGTAAAAAAGTCACGTGTGAAATTGCAGGAGAGAACTTTTGTGTTTTTGCTCCATTTTTTCCTTCTCCCTTTTCTTTAGAAGCTCTCAAGTGAGAATGGATGAAAAGTTATGTCTTCATTTAAATTCACAGAAGTGTGTGTTCGCGAAGATAAGAAGTTCCGTTAATACGAGAATGTTTTTAAAAACGTTGATATTTATTATATTGAAAAAAATATATTTTTCTTTTTGTAATTGCAAAATTTTTTCTTCTACAATTTCGAGATTTTTTTGAATTTTGTTGATGTTTTGATTTTATATTGTTTTCTAATTTATCATCATGTATGTGGTCTCTCACCTTATTGCTTCAATCATTTCCAATCCCATTTTAACACAATTATAAGCATGATTAGGCCTCGAAATCGGAAGTCCTGATACGCAGTAATAACAATCTCCAAGTATTTTTATTCTCATGCATTGATTGTCCTGTTGAAAATATTAAATTATTATAATTTTTAATAAAAAGTGTTTAATGAAATTATACAAAATTACTAATTATCGAATATCAAATACATTCAGAAATTTGATTGATACGTAACATTTGAATACCTTCAGGTATCAATTATCTAATGTGTCATTTATCTGACTCTATATCTAATAATTGTTCCGTGAATGAATTTCCTTTGTGATGTGAATGATGATAAACACAAGTTGCTTTGTAAGGGAATATTATTGCGCAAAATAAAAAAACTATTAATCCCCCAAAAAAATATTAATTCGATTAAAAAATGTTTATTTTAATTTGTATTTTGAATTTTTAATTCAAAAATTTACAATTTTGTTTTTACTTTTCATATTTATATAATTTTCAAGAATAGAAGATTAGGAACTTTTTTTGCATAAATTATAAGGAAATTTTTCTTTTAATATTGTAAAACCTTCGTGACAAACTCTTATGGACAGAAGCACTTATACCTATGGGATAAAAAAAACATCATACATACTGCCTTACTTTCTAGAACATGAATTTTGTCTCAAGATGTTGTAAAAGTGTCTATAACAAACATTTATTTCGATTTGAACTTGAACGCAACATAAACTGTAAAAATTTTATTTTACGAGATAATATTCTTAAGGATAACATTTATAACTGTTGCTGGTTCTTTATTAGTATAACTTTCGAGAAGATTCTTCCATATTCTCGAAAGTAAGAAGGAGAAAACTTTAAACTTATATAGTAAATCTAAATTTTTATTTTCGGAGGTATCACAATTTTTCGTCACAATATTATTCATTAGAATTAATGTTCAAATTATTATGAACGTCCAAATAAACTTTGTTTGCTTATATTAATTTTTTTCAATTTAAATGTTTTTGTAAATTAGTGATTGGGGTAAAAATTAAATACATAAATTTTACATTTAGAAATTTTTTTTTACATTTAGCAGACTATTTGTTTTAGAGACGTAAAATTAAGACCCCTGAAGTTAGCGTCGATTCTGAGCAACGAAAACAATTTTTTTGTAGGTTTTAGGTTAAAAATGATTCTTTAATTCCCGAATTGAGTGAAAGCAGTGAAATTAGTGACATTTTTATCGCTAAAAACACCAAATAACAGTTTTCGACGCTAAGTTCAGGTTCACCAAATTTATGGCAATAAAAATTTAATTTTAAATCGAATAAATTCGATAAATTCAAAATTAATTAATCGAAATTCTATTAATAAATTTTGTTCATTTAACGTTCAAAACTTTAGGATAATCCGAATTTTTGGAGAAGTAACAATTACAAATTTTTCAAAATTTGCAAAATGTTACAAAATTTTCATAAATTTTCAGGGTTGCCACAGGTCAGGGAAAAGTCAGGGATTTTTAGTAAAAGTACTGGAAAAAATTAAATTTTCAAATGATTCCAGATATTCAATTATTTTTAAAAGTTATAAAAATTCTTCGCACAAATTATGTTCAAAAATTTTTAAAAATTCTCGTCAAAATTTCAATTATCTTTATAAATAATAAAATTCGTATCAAGAATTCAATTATTTATATAAATAATAAAATTCTTCACAGAAATTCAGTTATTCTTATAAACTTGAATAAAATTCTTCGTTGAAAGAATTAAATTATTTTTAAAAGTAATAAAATTCTTCACAAAAATTCTTGTCAAAATTTCAAATATTTTTATAAATAATAAAATTCTTCTCCGAAATTCAATTATTTTAGAAAAATTTTAATAAAATTTAAGGGAAAATTTTAATTATTTTCCTAAATAATAAAACTCATCGCAGGATTTTAATTATTTTTGATAGATTTTTAATCGAGTTTATTTAAAAATTATTAATTATATTAATTATTTAAAAATTTGTTGATAAAATTCTTTATGATAATTCAATTTTAACAAACATTCAATGATTTAATAAATTATTTATTTTTAATTTAAATAATTAATTTATTTTAGAATTTTCTAATAAAAATTGATTTAAAAATGAATTACTGAATAATCGATTTATTATTTATGAAGATAATTGAATTCTTGTAACGAATTTTATTAAATTTTTTTCAAATAATTGAATTTTTTTGAGAAATTGAACTACTTTTAAAAATAATTGAATTCTAGCGAAGGATTTTATTAGGATTTTTGTAAATAATTAACTTTTTTTGAAAAATGTTTGAATGTTTGAAAGAATTTTAATTCCTGCGGAAAAATAATAATGATTAAATATTTATTTGAAAAAGAACTTACTGATGTTTTTGAATAATTTTACAATTAAAGAAATTTGTAAATAAATGTAATAGAACATTTTTTTTTGAGTATCTAATAATTTTTAGAGTGAATCAGAATATTCTTCAGGGTCAGGGAAAAAGTCAAAATTTTATCTGGAAATCAGGAAAAATCAGGGAAAAATAACATTAAATATTTGTGACAACTCTGATTTTTCTGTTATAAAGTATGTTCCTAAAGTTTTGAACTTTTAAATGAACTAAATTTTTGCAGATATAAATATGAAAAATGTCTTATTGCATTATAAAAACAAAATTAAATAATTAGGAACTTTATACTTTATTTTTTTCTACGTGAAGCAAAGCTATTGGAATAAAACTTGAATTTAAAGAAGAAGTAAATCAATTTCCTTCATTTGGATGTTTAAAATTTATGATCCACAAATTTTAAACGTTCAAGTGAACGAAATATTTTTATTAAAAATACTTCTAAAAATTATTATTAAGAATGAAAATTAAAAACTTAAATTTAACATTTAGAAACTTTATCATTTTTTTATACGTAGCGCAGAAATTATTGCAATAAAGTTTCAATTTGAAGAAGAGATAAATTTATTTTATTCCTTTAAACGTTCAGAACATTAGGAATATTAAAATTTTAGTGAAATTTGACTAAAAGTTTTTGTGAAACATTTAGAAATTCTCTTAAATGTTTTACTTATACGTTCAGTTACTTTTAATACACAAAACTTGAGTCCTAAGTTTATGAAATTTCAAACAGTGTGCACTAAAGTATTTATGGAATTTATGGAATCAGGGTTTAAAATTCCTGTAGTTTAAAAATTTTTCTCATGAAGAAGCATTATTTTCATTTATTTATAATTATTATAATTATTAATAGCAAACATATTCCTCGCTCTCTTATTATTATAATAATTTTTTTTTTCATTTATTTTATATACTTCTTTTTTAGTATTTTTTAAAATTTGTCAGTTTAGTTGCAATGCAATTACTTACCTGAGCAATTTGATCGAATCTTCCAAAAAGCTCATTGAGAGTTTTCACAAGATCCGAAGCGGTGAGTTGTTCCGATAATGGTGTAAAATTTACGATGTCTGCATAAAGAATGCTGAAAGAATTTTTTCTTTTTTCAAACATAGTTCAATCGAAAGTCACTCAGTTTGAAAGTTTATTAACTTTATGTGTTGAATATAGTGAAGAAACAATACACAGATGGTAAATTAAATTTATTTTTGAGATCCATTCAAAATTATTGAATTTGATAATTAAAAATTTCAATTAAGTATTAAAAACAATTCATTAAAATTTAATTTAGAATTTAATTTAGAATTTCATTCAGCATTTCATTGAGCATTTCATTGTACTCAATAATATGAATGATATAATTCTCAATGAATTGATATAATTCAGGTACATTAAGATTGTGTTTCCTATAGATGTAATGATTCATTGCTCATGATACATAACCATAACCACGCCTCTGAGCTTTGCCATAACTTAATGAACGGTGCTTGTTGAATAAATTATGCTCACCTGACATTGTTGTGACGTTGGACATACATCTCATGAAATCTGGTTTGTTTGTGCTTGCTAGCCTCGTGACAGGCATCGGCCATCTTCAACATTATGCTTCGTTTCACCTTAAAAATTAATAAAATAGAATTTTTCACAATTTCTAGAAAGTCTTAATTTTTGCAGAACAAAATGTATGAAACGGAAATTGGCACCCTTTTTTTCTTATATGTTGCTTTTAAACAAAAAAATGCTTGTAACTTTTTCTTACTTTGATCTTAAAGAAACAATATAATGTTAAACAGTATAATGAATTCTGAATCAACAAGATGTAATTTTATGCGATTGGAAGTTTATGCTTACTTTGGAAAGAAAATTATGGCAATTTTAGTATTCCGTAGGTATGAAGGTTTGATACTAACCACATTGTGCGGACCATAAAGGAGAAATTTATTAGGAGCTTTATTATACTTGGATGGCGCAACAGAGGAAAGGAAGGCATATTAGAAGTAACACATAATATCCAAAATAAAAGTTTGCCTTAGTTAGAAGAGCATAATCTGCTATAATTGTAAAATATCATTTATATTTTACTTTCTACTCTAGTTTATAGTTCTGTATCTAACTATAAAAAAATTATATGATATATAGAATTAATCATATCATATCTAAATCTAAAGCAAACTTTTTTATAGAAAAATCGAATTGTTTTTACTTCTATTCATTCTAAAATTCATATTTCACGTTTATTGCGTTGATAAAATCAGTTTAAAATCTTTTTTATTGTGTTCTGGAGAATGGTGATGGAGGGACTTTATGTATGATGCTTGCAATCGTTATAATAGCTTTGTAATGTCTAAAATTATTTCTGCAACTAACCTCAGCGGCAATGTAAGCTGGTATCACTGAGAGTAATAATTGCTCCTGTTGCTCTCTCTCGCATTCGAGTTTTATTCGCGAATCGATTACAGTTTTCGTTCCAGAAAATGTTCGATGTTGTGCCCGTGCCGTGAGAATCCTATAATAAAATCCGGCTACCAAAGCTGCCAATAAAAGAAATGAGTCGCCTGCTATCTGCAGAAAAAATAGTTTCACTAATGATTCAGCTATTATTTCAGAGGAATTGATAGTTTTGTTAATCGATCCTGCTAGGTTTATTGTTTCCTTTTATTAACCAGCTTTTATTCTTATGAAAGAGAAATTTTATTAGTACAGTGTTAAAAATCGGAATTCAACTTTACACCAAATAGATACACCAATTTTTGTCACAAAAATTGGTGTATCTATTTGGTGTAAAGTTGGAGTCCGATTTTTCACAGTGTATACTCTCTAAATCCAGACTTCGCACTCGATAATTAATTTTTAAAAAGTAGCAAAAAGTAGCTTTCAAACTAAAAAAAGTAGGTAACTATCGAAAAATTAAAGTTGACGATCAAAAAAATTCGTTTTAGAAACTTCACAAAACAGATAAAAAATTCCATTCTATATTTTATTTTCCTTATTTTTTCCTAATTTCCATAACAAAAAATTTACTTCTTTCTTTATCCTGCTAATAAATTAAATTCATGCAACGAAAATTTTATTATTCATGAAAGAATTTAAATATTTATAAAAATAATTTAATTCTTGAGAAGAATTTTATAAACTTTTTTAAATAATTGATTTCTTTCGACTAATTTAATGCAAATTCGAATTTAAATAATTGAATTCCTGAGGAATTTTTATTATTCATGAAAAGAATTAAATTCTTGCGAACGATTTTATTAGAATTTTTTTAAATAATTGAATTTCCAAGAAGAAATCTTTTACTTTTAAAAATACTTGAATTCTTGTGATGAATATTATATTTATGAAAATAATTGAATTTTGCAAAGAATTTTATTAAAATGACTCGAAATAATTGAAATTGAAAATAATTGAAAAATGAAAATAATTGAAAAATGAAAATAATTGAATATATGTAAATAATTGGATTCTTAGAAAGAATTTTATTAAAATCTAACAGAATAATTTAATTATTTCAAAAAATTTTTATTAAAATTGTATTTAGAATAATTAATTTCTTTTGAACAATTTATTAAAATATTTGAAAGTAATTGATTTCCTGTAAAAAATTCTAATATTTTTGTAAATAATTTAATTTTTCCAAAGAATTTAAAAAAAACATTTTTTTAAATAATTAATTTTGTCGATTAAATAATTTAAAATAGTATTAAAAAGAATTGAAATTCTTCGATGAGTTTTATTATTAATGAAAGTAATTGAATTCTTGTGAACGATTTTATGAAAAATTTTTTAAATAATTGAATTTCCAAAAGCAAATTTATTACTTTTAAAAATAATTGAATTTTGCAACGAATTGTATTAAAATGCCTCAAAATAATTAAATTTTCGGGAATGATTTTGTTAATTATCTAAATAATTGAATTCTTTTGAAGAGTTATTTATGTAAATAATTAAATTCTTAAGAAGAATTTTATTAAAATCTAAAAGAATAATTGAATTATTTCAAAAGAAATTTATTTAAAATTGTATTTAGAATAATTTATTTCTTTCGAACAATTTATTAAAATATTTGAAAGTAATTGATTTCCTGTGAAAAATTCTAATATTTTTGTAAATAATTTAATTTTTCCAAAGAATTTAAAAAAAAACATTTTTTTAAATAATTGAATTTTTCAATTAAATAATTTAAAATAGTATTAAGAAGAAATGAAATTCCTCGATGAATTTTATTATTTATGAAAGTAATTGAATTCTTGTAAACGGGGTTATTAGAATTTTTTAAAATAATTGAATTTCCAAAAAAAAAATGTATTCCTTTAAAATAAAATTTTATTTATTTTCTTTTATTTATTTTATTAAAAATAATTGAATTTTGCAAAGAATTGTATTTAAATGCCTTAAAATAATTGAATTTTAGGGAATAATTTTGTTATTTATCGACAGAATTGAATTCTTTTGAAAGATTATTTATATAAATAATTGAATTCTTGGGAAGAATTTTATTAAAATCTAAATGAATAATTGAATTATTTAAAAAGAAATTAATTAAAATTGTATTTAAAATAATTGCTTTTTTTCGAACAATTTTATTAAAATATTTGAAAATAATTGAATACCTGTGAAAAATTCTAATATTTTTGTAAATAATTGAATTATTGTGAAAAATCATATTAAAATGGTTAAAAAGAATTGAATTTTTGTGATGAATTTTGTTATTTTTGAAAATAATTGAATTCTTCATAAGAATTTTATAAACATTATTTTAAATAATTAATTTTTTCGAAATATAATAAATATGAAAATTTTATTTTAAATAATTGAATTTTTGTGGAAAACTTTATTTGTGAAAATAATTGAATTTTTCTGTTAATTAATTAAAAATAGTATTAAAAATAATTGAAATTCTTCTATGAGTTTTATTATTTATGAAAATAATTGAATTCTTGCTTAGAATTAAATCAGAAATTTTTTTAAGAAATTGAATTTCCATGAAAAATGTTATTATATTAGTGAAAGTAATTGAATTATTGTGAAGAATTGTATAGAAATTTTGTTAAATAATTTATTTTTTCGTAATTTTTTTGGAAATGCTATTTTAAATTAAATTAATCACAAGTTTTGAACGTTCAAATCAGGGTGGCCACATGTCAGTAAAATCAGTAAAATCAGGGAAATGTCAGGGAAAAAAATATTTTGTCAGTAAAGTCAGGGAAATGTCAGGAAAAAAATTTTTTGTCAGTAAAGTCAGGGAAATGTCAGGAAAAATTTTTTTGTCAGGGCAATTAAAGAAGAAGGGAAGTGTCTGGAAAAAAATTTGTTTGTCAGTAAAGTCAGGGAAATGCCAGGAAAAATTTTTTTGTCAGGGCAATTAAAGAAATTAAGACGGTCATGCAATACATTTTTTGCTCTAAACAAAAAATTTTTGTCAGGGAAATTCGTTGTTATGTCAGTAAAATGTCAGGGAAATTGATAAAGTCAATCTTGCGGCCACCCTGTCAAATGAACGAAATATTTTGTATTAAAAATATTTTCATAAATTATTGATTCGAATAAAAATTTAAAACTTAGATTCTACATTTAAAAACTTTAAAAATTAATTTGTTTGATAGTAACTCAAAATTATTGTCATAAAAATTGAATTTGAGGAAGAAATAAATAAATTTCGTTCATTTGAACGTTCAGAATTTTAGGATCATTAAATTAATTGAATTTCCGTGGAAATTTTATTATTTATAAAAAAAATTGAATTTTGCAAAGAATTTTATCAATTTTTTTAAAAATAATTGAATTCTTTTGCGAAATTTTATGAAAATATGCTAGATATTGAAAATAATAATTGAATTTTGAATATTTTTTGAAAATAATAATTGAATCGTTTTAAAGAATTTGATTATAATTTTTTAGAACAGTTTTTTGATTTTTAGTGTTAGCGGATTTAAAGTAGTGGAAATTCTAAAAAAAAAACAGAAATAGTAGCTTTTAGAGACTGAAATTTAAAAAAGTTCCCAAATAGTAGCATAACGTAAAAAAAGTAGTAAATAGAAGGTTTTAGTAGATGAGTGCGAAGCCTGTAAAATCTGAATTTTACTGAAAATTAGTGGAGAATTTAAATTTGAATTAGTTGATGACTCTTCGCTAATTCAAATTTAGAGAGTAAATAAAATATTAATTAGTGCTTAGTATGGTGTGTCAATATTGGAAAAAAAGCAATTAAAAGTTCATTAACCTGATAATAATTAGAGGAATCGAGAATAAAGAAACTTTTCGCTATATAGAGAATGACTGGAACATAGCCTATAATCGATGGTCGGTGTTTCTTGATCCTTGGAAATGCAGCGACAATAGCGATAGTACTGCAAAAAGCTGGTATCGCTCCTCCCATTATTAAAACTCCAAATCCGAGGATAGTGGATGATATTGATCCTAAGATGAGTCTCGTGCGAGTACTGCTCAGTGTTGATGGAAATTGTGTTATTATTAAAAGAATCACAGATGACAGTAACATCGTGGACAGTGTTGTTATTTGCAACACATGCGTTTCCTTCAACAAACAAGAGATTCTTTTCAATACACGTTCATATAGTCTAGACAATTACAGATTACAACTGAAATGAAAAAAATTCTTATTATTCTTGTTAATAAATAAATTCTTATTAGAATTCTTATTAGAATTTTTATTAGAAGTCTTATTAATAAAAAATTCTTTGCAGTGTTAAAAGAAAGTGTTTCTACTTTAAAGGAATTTAGTTCCTTTCTGTATGTCCATATTATCAGCTTTAATCATACATAATTCTCTTGTATTGTAATACATTTTACAAAGTTCGACGTATGTCCTCAATTTCTGCAGAGCTTTCAATATTTTTTTTTACATTCCCTGGTACTATAGAACAAAAATACAGACTTGGATTTCTGGTTTTTAATTTATCGGAACTAATAGTAAAGAGATAATTTTATTATTAATGCCATCATCTGCAAGGGTTTAATAAGATTTTGCAGAATTTGTAACTTGTTAAAGGATACTACTCCATGTGGTTGTTATCATCGATTTTCGAGAAACTGTTTAATAAAGTCTCTGCGACATGATTACCTTGAGGGTATTCATTCATCTATGGATTATGTTGACAGGAAATTTGACAAAACTTTGAGAGATGTATTTAAGTTTAGTATATATGGATTATATCATGTAAGCACGTTCGATCTCTAACATTATCAGAACAAAATTAATCTCATCACTTTGTAAAATTAAACAATGGAAAATATTTGCATTTACCATATTTGGAAAAACTTTTCTAATTTTGGATCAGAAACTAACTCATCATCAAATCTGAGTATGAACAATGTTCCATATGATCATTACTCATTTTAACAACCTCTATTATTATTTTATCACGTATCTGCGATATTCTGAATTTATATCAAGGACCGCATCAAAATCATTTATGAGAATGCAAAACACGCGTGATAAATTTATTCTGTATGTGTTTGTATGTGCAACTTTTTAAAAGAAACATATTTTTGTGTGAAAAAATGTGTGAAATTCTAAACATGTATAAATTTTTATAAAAAAAATTGTTAGAATAGAGAGAAAGTTTTTATATATATTCGTATCACTTAGCTTGAAAGCTATTATTTGAAATTGAAACGTACATCTGAGTGAAAAATGAACAAGGCAATGAGTGCTGAGAGAGTGGCAACCACTGACACGGTGAAAATTCCAGTGAAAAAAGATGCTGAAAGTTTTCCCTCATATCTATTTCTAAGTTCCTGTAATTCCTTCGCATTTCCACCTTCATCTCCACCTTCTCCGTTGCCTTCTGTGAAAAGAGAGAGAGAGAGAGAAAAATAAAGGTATTTCGAAATGCTTGCGTAAACATATTATAGGTATGCATTAGATTTTCATATAATCATTAAATGTTGTGTAGTTTATGTTCTGATTTGCCTTATTGACATCATAAACTGTGAATATAACCGTATTATTTCAAATTGTTTTAATAGAAAGAAATATTATTTGTTTGTGAAAATAATGAGAAAATTTAGTCCACAATGCTGGGGAATGGAAAAAATTTTTTCAATAATCCTGAAAGTTTTGAACGTTCAAAAGAAATTTATTTTCTTTTTAAATTCAAAGTTTATTTTTGTTATATTGAGTCAATTATTTTGACCCAATATATGAAGCTGAAATTGGCACCCACTTAATTTTTGAAATTAAATTTGAAAGTTAAATATTTTTTTTTTTAAATCATAATAAAATTTTCAATAATTATTGATAACTAGGTGCAAGTTGCAGCTTCATGAAAGAATATTTACCTTTAAAATTTAATTTCCAAAATTAAGTGGGTGTTGATAACTGAGTGCCAGTTTCAGCTTCATTGACAAAATACAGGGCTCGAACTAGGTCCGTAAATCGCGTAAAAGTCCGTAAAAGTCAGTTTTTTTTTAAAAAAAAGGTCCGTAAAGTCCGTAATTTCATTGAAAAAACAAGAAAAGTTCGTAAATTTAACGATATAATTTGGAAAATTTTTGAGAAGTTATACAAATAATTGCAAAAATTCAATTATTTTTAAAAGTTATAAAATTCTTTGCAAAAATTCAATTATTTTCAAAAGTAATATATTTAATTGAATAATTTTCTAATAATTGAAATTTCTTAAAATTGAATTGTAAACAAATGGATTTGAAAATTGTCAAAGAAATTTTTCGAAAATTATTATAAATAATTGTTTAAAGAAGAATTTTAGTTAAAAATTTTAGAAAATAATATTTGAATTGAAATGTTGAAAATAATTTCCAAAATATTGAATTTACTTTTTTAATTTGTATTTTAGTCAGCGATTTTTAAAAAAATAACTGCACGGAGAGGGAATATATATTAAATTTTGTAAAAATATTTTCAAATTGGGGAAAAAGTGCGACAAAGCGAAATTTTGATATCAAAAAATACTAAACTTTAAAAAAACTTATGTGAAATTTAGTATAATTATATCAAATATCAAGAATATTAATTAAATTCTAATATAACTTTACTAAATTTCATATAAGTTTTTTTAAAGTTTAGTATTTTTTGATATCAAAATTTCGCTTTGTCGCACTTTTTCCCCAATTTGAAAATATTTTTACAAAATTTAATATATATTCTCTCTCCGTGTGTAAATAAAAAACTTTCGTTCATTTAAATTACGTTAGTTATCATCGACGCTCAGTGATGAAAACTATTATTTTAAGTTTTTAGAGATAAATATAGCACTAATTTTATCACTTTTATTTATCTAGAGACTTAAAAATTTTTCAAGGCATTTTTTACAACTAAAATCTTGGAAAAAATTTTTTCATTCTTTTCGATTAGGGCAAAAAAAATTATTTTCGACGCTAACTAACATTCTTTTAAATTTTTAAGATTTTTGGAAATGTTTAAAGTTTTGAAAAATTTTTTCAAAGTTTTTATTTTAAAAAAAGTACCTTGTAAAATCTTTTAACGCCCTAAGTGAATGAAAGAAATAATATTAGTGATATTTTTATCTCTTAAAAGACCAAATAATAATTTTAGATTCTGAGCTTCGACGATAATTTCAGGGACATAAAAATATATAAAAAAGGAGGATTTTTATTTATGTTGTAACAGAAATTGTATGTTTCTTAAAGGAAATACAAAATATTAAAATAACAGGGTTGACACAAGTCAGAGAATTTCATCAAAAGTACAGAGAAAAGTATTAAATTTCTAGAATTTATGAAAAAATTCTTTTTTTTTTAGGGTTTAGTAATAACTTTAAAAATATTAAAAATATTTAATTTGTGGATTTCCTTTTGCCTTGGAGACTCTGAAATATACTCACGAATTTTAATACAAAACTAAATTTTCTTCTATTTCTGACAATAATTGAACTTTGCAGAATATGAAGTTGAATTTATTTTAAATAAAATTGTTAAAAAACTTTAATAAAAATTATTATTTACAAATTATTTATAGCGAATAATTTTAGTTAAAAATTGAAAAAAATATTTGATTGTCAAAAGAGTTGTGTTTACAATTTTTATAAATAATTGAATTTCAAAAGATGTCAAATTAAAAAAAAAAATAATTGAATTTCAAAAGGTGTTAAATTGAAAAAATAATTAAATTTTAAAAGGTGTCAAATTCAAAAAATAATTGAAATTCAAAAGGTGTTAAATTGAACAAAAAAATAATTGAATTTCAGAAGGTGTCAAATTGAAGAAAATAATTGAATTTCAAAAGTTGTTAAAATGAAAAAAAATAATTGAATTTCAGAAGAGTTGCGTTTACAATTTTTATAAATAATTGAATTTCAAATGGTGTCAAATTAAAATTATTGAAAATTTTAACTTTAAATAATTTTAATTAAAAATTAAAAACTTCTCGAATAGAAAACTATTAATATAAACTATTTTTGTTTCAAATAATTTTATAATTAAGAAAAAAAATTTCGACTACTTTAAACAAATTTTTTTCGTTCATCAATATTGTAGACTCCAACTTCGTAAATAAATATTGCTATTTATTTAGACATACTTTTAAAATACGAAAAAAATGTCGAAGCATTTTATAATTATGCATTCACAAAGAAAATTTTTCATAAAAATATACATCTAAATTGCAAAGAGTTTCCTGTTTAAAATTATTCGTTTAAATTTCTTAAAGTGCATAAACAATTATTTCCTAATTTTTTGCAAAGAGAAAATTTCTTTGCGCAAATATTACTTTTTACTGATGATTCTGAATTGAAACGAACAAACGGAAGATAAATGTAGAATATACTGAATTATATAGAAGCAAATTAGAGAAAAATGAAAAGAAAACAATTGTGATAAGAGCAGAGGAAAAATTTAAAATAATATAATAATAATATAAAAGGACATAATTCGTTAAAAATAACTTTTGCTGCTTTTTTATATCTTTAATTGGTGTTTAATGTTTCCGGTCTCGTATATATAAAATTCAAAAGCACTCTCTTATCGTAAATTGTAGTAGAGCTTTTTTTTTATTTTGCGTGACATGACTATTGTAGTTTGAAATGTATTGTTAAAACAGTGGATAATGTACAATACTGGTTAGACCGGTTAGACAGCATACAAGTCTAATCATTATTTAAAATTATCAACATTTCTAGCAGAAGCAAAAAAAATCGTTCAATTTTTTTGTAGGAAAAAGAAGAAACGTATAAAATATTTCATTATTCACTTTGGCGTAATTTTTTTATACGTTTGTTGAAGTTCAGAACGTTTGTTCAACAAATCAACAACTAATCAACAATTTAGAAGAAATAATATTTTTTTGTTTAAATATTTGTATTTTTTGTATAAAAAATATTTTGATGTTGACTTTGAATTTGATTTTATTTTTGATTTTGAACTATTTTTTTCTGCTCGAATATTTTTAAAAATGACTATATCGAAAAGAATAAATATAAATTTTCGAATTTAGAAATTTCTTTGAACTGAAAAGCGAGAAAATTTAAAACAAGATCAAATTCCGATTGTCATTCCGGACTCTGACGATTCTAATTGCGAATATGCTGAGAAGAATTGAGCATTATTTTAAACATCTTCCCTACACACTGAACGAAGTGACTTACAACTATCCTTTAAACTTTGATACTGTACTTGAGTTGAAACTAGTAACTTGCCATCGCATGAGAAAGTCAAATTAATTTATGACTCTTATAACTAAATCAGCCAGATTGGTACACTGTAACGGAGCTTGCAGTACAATTTAACGAAGACCTGAAAGTTTCAAGGAGTAGTTCCTTTGTTGTTTATTAAAAAAACAAAAAAAAAAAAGAAAGAAACTTGAGCAACATTCGTATATAAAATAATCGAATAATTAAGAAAACATTGTTATTAATGCAGTAATGTGAATAATAATTATACGCTTAATTATTATTGAGTTAATGTCCCTCATTTTCTCCTCCCTCTGTTATAAATTGATGATTTGCTGTCCATAGATTCTCAATTCCAGCATTGAAATTTATTGGTGGACCTCATGTTTATCAACGTTTCTCGAATCATTAGTTTGATGTTTGATTAAAGATTTAATTAAAAAATGTTATTACTTTTTTTAAGGTTGTTTTTTGTGCTTTTAATCTGAATTTTTTTTTTAGCTACTATTTAATAGTAAAAACTTTTATTAATTTTTGAGTGATTCTTAATAATTATTTGTAATTCCTATTATGCTCAATTTACATTTTTTCAAATTTAGGGTGGACACATGTCAGTAACGTCATGTCAGGGAAATATCAGAAGAACAAAATTTTTATCAGTAAAGTCAGGAAAATGATAGGAAAAAAATTTTTTTACCAGGGAAATTAAGGAAATTTAGACTTTTTTCAACTGATTTTCAAACATTGCGACTTTTTCGACTTTTTTTTCCAAATATTGCATCAAAATACTACATTTTTAAGTATAAAATGCAACTCATATTGATTTTTAAATTGCGAAAAATAATTATAAACAAATCTTTCAAAAATTATTTTTGAATCACTTTTTTAAGATATAATTAAATTCTTCAAATATATCTGTAGTAAAGAACCTTTTTGAATAATTGAAATTTTCTAAAATTGAATTGAAAATAATTAATTTTTTTCAAGTATTTTGTTACAATTTTGGAAAATCAACTTTTAGAGGATTTTAATTGCAAATTTTGAAAATAATCGAATTATCAAAAATGTTAATGAAAAATCTTTAAATGTAAAATTAATGAAAATTAGCTTCTAATTTTTTAAAACTCAATATTTTTAATTGCATATTTCCGGAAATTCAAATACACACAAAAAATAATATTTTAGAATTATTTTTAACA